TAAGAGCACCATTACTATATTTTGCTTTTTATATAGCAACTTTTTAACTATGCATCTCTAAATTTACTGGAGTGATAAGGCAATTTGTATGCATTATTTTTATGCAAAGAATAATCCTGTAAATCAGGATCTGTTAATCATGAGGTAAGAATCTTTTATGAAGATTCTTTTATTATCACAGAAAACTACTGATCAGTATATTTGCATGTCTTCCTGTTTTATAAATACAAATGCTAGTTTGCAACAGCAACATCTTATAACTATCAGGGCATTTTTCAAATTAGGCTTTAGAATTTGGAACTTGAGCTGGGAAAGATACAATGTTTGTTCAAATGCTACATTTCAGTTCTCTAAATTATTCTAGTTTAATAGAAAGCAATAACAGATGTAGCTGGCCACCAAGGGAAGATAAGGGAAATTAACAAATGCTAAGTCATTATTGTCTTTAAAGCAGAAAGTTACTGCTTTACATAGCTTTCAAAAGTTATATTTTGCATTTCCAAATCAAGTTTCAGGGCATTATGACCCCATATTTTACATTGTTCAAGGCTCCAGTTTCCATACAGCAAACTTCTGAAATATACACAGATCAAGCTCAGAAAAAAGTTCCTAACTGTAAGAACAATAGGGAAATGGCCCAAGCTACTTATGAACTTGTGGATTCTCTCACCAGAAATTTTAAAGAGTTTGGCTAAGCAAAATGGCCTTGCATGCTATGATTTGGCAAGCGTGCCAAGGATTGCCAACCCCTGGCCTAGACCATCTACCTAGCACTCACAAAAGTATCAGAAATTAATAGGGTGCAAAATGTACACAATCATTTATGAGCAACAAACATTACAAGATCTAATCTAAATTTAAGATTTCCATGAGTTCTACATGGAAGAAATGAAGGCAGTAGTATCATCACTACTTCACTAGAGAGCATCTCTTACTCTGAAAAAAAATCTTAAGAGCTTTTAAAACAGAGCTATTGATGAATAAATAAAAATTGTATCTACTGTCCCCTTCAATAAATCCACAATCATATCATACAATGTAGGAGTCTAAACTTCAGGTCCTTAACTGTGTGCAACTTTTACAAAATCACACCAAAGAATGAAAGCAGAGCAAAACATTGATACAGAACCAGAGTTAAAGATGCCTCAATTGTTCATTTACATTTTTAAATGTATAAAAATTCAAAAAATTTCAAAATATTAAGTCTGCATTTCCTAAAATTTTTAAATTGGATTAGGTAGTCTTCAACAATTTTTTACATGGGTTCAAGTTAAGAAATTTTTGGTCTAGCTACAGTCTTCCAATAAAGCATCAGGCCACATCTGAAGGGGTGAAGAATGGAGGACAATAATGCTCATGACACTACAAAATCATTAATGCTATTGCTCCTCAGATGCACTGCGGTCAATTACAAAGGCCTTGTCCACACTTTCATTAGTGGAGATCAACAGGAGGAGATGAGGGGGGTGGTGGTCACAGAATCATGAATGGCATATTCACATTATGCACATACTCTTTAGAGGTGCACAGATATATCAGTTGCACATTGGACTGGCACTGATAAAAGGAAAATTAACATTATTGGCTATCGTTTTTTTTTGACCAGTGTAGCTGATAACGACACTGATAAATGACATGTACATGCATGCAGCCAGGCAGCTTGGAGAGCAGTGTCCTGCAGGTATGTCTGTGGGGGGGAAGGGGCATGGGCTAGGGAAGGGATGTGTGTGGAGGACAGATAAAGGCCCCCATAGTGAGGGAGGGAGTGGGGCGGGGGCACAGGCAGGTGCTGCCCAGCCAGGGCAGTGAATGGGACCCTGGGGCTGAGACCAGGACAGAGCCGCAGGCAGCTTGTCCAGGGGGTGTGGGCAGAGATGGGGAGAAGAGGCGGCTCCCTGCCACTGTGCACACCCCCAAGGGAGGTATGGGGGGCATGTGCCCCCCTGGATTTGTGTGCAGGGCAGAGGCAAGCTGCCTGCTGTGGGCTCATAGACCAGGAGCAGTATCAGCCTCTTCCTGGTGGCAGGGCTGGGCTTGGAGCAGGCAAGAGTGAGGTAGGCAGCAGTAGCAGTGCTGCGAGACGTGCTTACAGTGATTTTTGTGGTGGCTACTGTCATAACCCAAAGGTATGATTTTGTGTGTGCTTCGGCACTAGAATTATTCTCGCTAAATTGCAGCTTCCTTGCACGGTGGAGTTTTCTGCTGCAGAGGAGAACCCCGGTGCAAGGGAGAATTTCCCACCAATTTGTAGCTTCCTTTACAGGGTGCATTTCTCAAGTTGCAAGAGAAATGCACGGTGCAAAGGAGTTCCCGCCACCCGCATGCAAATTTGTTCTCCGCTATTGGCTAGTTCTAAATTATTCCCATGTGGCAGCTAACGATTGGCCTGCTAGCCGTATAAGAGGCTTGAGCGGTTTCCGCCCAAGCAGAAGAGGACTCCACATCCATCTTGTGGGGACTCTGGGTACACGGTAGGGTAATAGAAACCCTGTGTGAGAATTCTATTTTGGTGGCGCGCTTGTCCAGGGCATCCGGAGCTCTGTTTCCGTGGAGCCTAGCAAACTCCACGTGATTGTTCGTGTCGTTTTGTTTGTAACTGCAACTCAAGCAAGTTTTCCAGCCTGCATCGCGACCATCTTCGGTGTAAGTAAACAATCTTTAAATCTACCATTACGAGTCCGTGCCTAATTCTAGCGTGTCGCCCGTTCTCTCCGACCCCGCATGCCCGGGCTGCTGGCCACAGCCTGCGCAGAGCACAAAAAAGGGCCCGGCTCACACCCGGCCCGCACAGCTACAAACCCCCCAAATCCCGCCCCCAGCACCGCCCCTGCTCAGGGCATTCTGAGCTATTGCCTTTCCCTTGCAAGCCCTGTGCTGCAGGGCAGCAGGCAGGGGATGTGTGGCCAGCACAGGGCTCCTGAGGGAAAGGCAGCAGAGCAGAGGATCCCAAGGAGGGCCAGCGCTGGAACGGGAGACTTGGGGAGGGAGGGCTATATCCACCCCAAAATTCACCCTAGCCCCCCCTCTCAGCACCACTCCAGTCACTGCCACCCACCCCATGCCACTGAGGCCCCCGCAACTCCGAGCCTAGCCCTGGCCCAGCCCCGCACTGGGAAAAGGCTGGCACTGCCCCTATCCCCAAGCCCACAGTGGGCAGCCCACCTCCAACATGTGCACAAATCCCAGGGGGCAGGAGGAAGGGGCACATGCCCCCCCATGGGGGTGTCTGCAGTGGCAGGGAGCCACACCCTCCCTACTCCCCTTGGACAAGCCGCCCATGGTTCCATCCCACTCCCGGCTCCAGGGTCCCATTCACCACCCTGGCTGGGCAGTGCCTTCGCATGCCCCACTCCCTCCCTCATCATGGAGTCTTGAGCTGCGCTCCCATGCCCCTTCCCTCCTCCATACCCCATCCCCACCCCAGAGACACAGGGCACTGCTCTCTAAGCTGCTAGGCTGCATTGCTGTAAATCAGCTATTGGGTAGGTATCAGCTGATACGGCTGGTTAATAATCGGCTACCAGTATCAGCCAAGAAAATCTTTATCGGTGCACCCCTAGTTCTCTTCTTTATGACACAGTTCTCTTCTTTATGACACTTATGACCCCTAATTCTCTTCTTTCATGAAATTTATTATTCTGCACCCAAGACAAGCCAACATAGAAGCGACTTCGGAAACGCCAACATAGGTACATAAAGGGCTGTCAAAGAGCTCCCTCTTTCACTCCGTCTCAACTATCTGTCCAATTATTCTTCTATATGACCCTCACTGTTTAACCGATTACCTTCTAGTCATGAGGCAGTAGTAGATTTGTTGAACTGCCCAAGTCTGACCTGTTACTGATAAAAAAAAAAAAAAATTCTTCAGTTTCAGATAATGAGCAATTACTACAACTTAGCACTCAACTGCCATGTAGTTGATTTGCAGGTTGGTTTAGCTGCTCTTTATATATCTGAATAAATTCAGAATGTTTGAGCCAAAGAATTTGTTTTGTTTTGTGGCAAGATCAAGCCAAGAAGAACGTTAGGAATACTTTTTTTCCTATTTTATACAAAGTTTGTTTTTGGTGTGTTTGCACTTCTAGGCCCCACAGTATTAGGGCCTGCTTGTGCCAGATTCTGTACAAACAAGGAAGTCATTGTCTTTTCCCTGAACAGCTTTTTAGTAATCACTTGGGGGTGAAACTAAACAGGCAAAAAGCAAAAAAGAAAAGACAGAAACAAGGTGAAGGCAAGAAGTAGTAAACAGCCACGTATTAACTTCCTGGTTTACGAGAACTTATATTCTATTTTTAATTTAAGTAATAAGCAATCTCTACTTTAACCAATCTACTCTAAGCCAAAAATACATATGTGCATATTGTTGGTGTGCCAAAACATCCTAGTCACTTCCTAACTTAAAATCAGACTATACTATTCCTTTCCCAGTACTTCCAATATCATTCAATAGCTTGCAAAATTCTCTCATAAACACTTTTGTCCCTCATCTGAAGTAATAAGTTTTATACAACTTCCCTGAACTCATCAGCAAAGTCCCAATCCCTCCACCGAGAAGTATGTTTGCTGTGCTGCCTACACTGAACCGAGCTAAATTTTATATGTATAGATTATATCAGGGGTTTTCAATCTTTTTGGGTCAGTGCACCCCCAGTAGCTGGACACAAAGCAGTGTACCCCTGGTAGCAGAACAGGGAGAGGGGTGGCACGTGGCTGAACGCAGAGCAGGCAACCTTCCCCTGCCACCTGCGTCCAGCTGGGCGGGCAGCGCCTGCACAGGATGGTGTGTGGGCACTCCGCCCCTACCTGCCTGTACCCCCTAGGGCCTTCTCACATACTCCCCAGTTGACAACCACTGGATTATATGCATTATCTTTAATTAATCCACTGACCTGTACACTAGTCACTTGTCTTAAACTGAGAGCTTCCCTACTCCTTGAACATCATAGTATCTCTAGAAAATTAACTCATTATGGTCTGAACATTAGTAGCAGAATACATACCTTGCCTTGCTGCATAGAACAATCCACACATCCCACTTGAATATTTCCATGTTTTGCTCCAGGGATTATTTGTAATCTTTCAAAATCAGTTCCCAGTACCACAATATCACATCCTGATGCATAAACCTACAAAAAGAAAAACAGAATGAGTTACATCAAACCTAAAGTTACTTCAGAATTCAGTGGTGAGTCTATTACAAACGAGCAGGATAGTTTAGGTATCCCCATTAAGATCTAGCTCTAAAGAGGCTATCCTTGATTCATCGTCATTTATATAGACTTACAATCATCATAGTGACCATGAGAGTATCTCTGGCCCAAGGAACTTATTCTAACATAGAAGCAGAACTCAATTTAGAACAGTCAAGACATAAGCAGGAGGACACTGAAAGCAACATATGACAATTTTTAGGAGGGGATTTTTTTCTTTGTTAAAAAAAATAAAAAAGGAAAAGGTTGCAGAACAAACACAAACTGAGGGACCAACTAGAAAAGAGGACGCAGAAAAACAAGCAGAGATGGGAGATGTGAAAAGCCTTTAAAAGGAAGGCAAGCTTTCTTTGGGTAGATGTGATATCACATCTACCCAAAGAAGCCTGCCTGTCGATGGCCTTAGACCAAGACGGCTACAACCAAAACCCCTTTAAAATGAAGGTTTGTTTTAATATAGGTGAAGGAAAGGAACAAAGACGTCAGAGAAAGATACCACAGAAAAACCTTGGTATTTTGCAGAGTAGCTTCCTCCCTAAAAAGATGAGGATTTGAAAAGAAACCCAGGGGTATGCAGAGCTGCAGTTAACCATTATGCAGAACAGCTTAAGTGTGCCAGCTGATTGTGCTGGCCATAGGAAACACACAGGGGGGCACATGCACCCCCTGAGAGCACTGGTACCCCCCACCCCGACAACAAGCGCTCCAGCTGGAAGGGGAGCACAGAGAGCGCTCGTGCCCCCCCTGAATTTGGCTCCGCTGCTGGCTGGCCACCGGGGGACCACCCCCCTGATCATGCCCTGCTGGTGCCCCCACAGACTCGGGAGGCACCAGTTGCCCATGGTGCTGGCTTTTATTTTAACGAGGAGCTCCAGCTGAGTGAGGAAGCAATACTCTTTGAAGTAAAAGCTGCAACAAGGATCATAGGAAAGTAGGGATGGGAAGGTCCTCACAAGATCATGTAGTCCAGAGGTTCTCAAACTGTGGTCCAGAGACCACCACTGGTCTGTGAGCTCCATTCAGGTGGTCCACAGAAAGGCTGCTGAACAATTGAGAATATCTGTACTTGTAAGGTAAGACTACTGATATTAACATATGAGTTGTGCGCTTTGATTTGGAGAACACCAAAAAAAAAAGTTTAAGTGGTCCACTGAGACCCTCAGCAATTTTCAAGTGGACCATGAAAAAAATGTTTGAGAACCACTAATCTAGTCCAGTCCTCTGCTCAAGACAGGATCGTGCCTAACTAAACCATCCCAGCCAAATGTCTGTCGGACCCACTTTAGAAAAGTATTTGAAGAATGTTATCAAATGCCTGCTTAGTCTCCTCTTCCTCAGACTAAATAACCCTAGTTCTTTCAGCCTTCCTTCATATATCTTGCCTTCAAGGCCCCTTATCATTTTTGTTACGCTGCGCTGGATTCTTTCCAAACTGTCCATGTCCTTTTTCAAGTGTGACACCCAAAACTGGACACTGTATTCCAGGTGAAGCCTCACCAGTGCTGATTAGAGAAGAAGAATCACTTTGCTTGATTTACAAATGACACGTCTGTCAATACAACCCAGTAGCTGTTGGCTCTTTTTGCAACAAGAGCACACGGTTAGCTCATATTCAGCTTATGCTTCAGCATAACCCCCAGGTCCTTCTCTGCAGTATTGCAACCAACCCAATCATTCCCCAATCTGTATTTGTGCATGCATTTCATCCCAAATGAAGCACTTGTCCTTGCTAAATTTCATCTGATTGACTGTGGACCATTTTCTCCAGTTTATCCAGGTCAATCTGAGTACCAGCTCTGTTCTTCAAAGTGTTCACAATTCTACTAACTTTTCCAGGTACAGAGGTGAGGCTAACTGGTCTGTAGTTCCCCAGATCTTCCTTCTTCCCTTTCTCAAAGATGGGCACTATAGTTGCCTTTTTCCAGTCATCCAGAATCCCATAAAACCTCCACAAATTCTCACAAAGGATACCCAGTAGCTGCAAAATTACCTCAACCAATTACTTCAGTACCCTCTGGTGCATCCCATCTGACCCTGCAAACTTGAAAGCATCTAGCTTCTCCTAGTAACCCCTAACTTGTTCTACCATTATTCTAGACTAGTGGTTTTCAACCTTTTTTTTCCCTATTTGCAGACCTGTACATGAACGGTGCGTACCCCCAGTGGCTGCGGGGCACAGCTGTGCTGGCAGTGGCATCAGGACGGAGGCAGGGAGCCCAGCAGCAGTGAGTGGGGAGCTCCTGCAGATGCTGCCAGCACTGTCAGCAGTGGCGGGGGCGGGTGGTGATGAGTGCCAACCAGGGGCCAGCAACCACCTGCAAGCGCCGCTCGCAGCGGCGGTGGCCTGAGGCAATTGTGGACTACCTGCAGACGACGCCGGCACCACCAGCGGCGGGGTGGCAAGCGGAGACCACCTGCAGGCACCGCTGACTGTGTCGGCAGCACCTTTTTGCAGGGGTATACTGTCACGCTCAGGGGGTGCATGTTCATCCACGTGCACCCCCTACACATCACCCCTGGGCCCATAAAAATATCAAATGGAGGTGCGGACTACTCTGAATTTTAAGTGTGGGTATTCGCACACTTTTGATCACAGTTATCTGTCACAGACCCCTTGGGCATAGTCAGCAGATCCCCAAGGGTCCACAGACTTCAGGGTGTAAACTAATATTCTCAGCTGTTTGTCTCCTTCCCTATCTCTGCTGCCAGCTACATTAATCAGCTGGTAACTACCCCTGTTTGTGAAGTCTGAAGCAAAAATGGTCTTAAATACTTCAGATTTCTTTGCATTGTCCGTGACCAGATTGCCTTCCTCATTCCATAAAGGGACCTATGGAATTTCTGGTCTTCCTCTTACTTTTGAGATACCCGAAGAATACCTTTTCATTGCCTTTTATGTCCCTTGCTGCATCTCAAAGGGCTCATCCTTAATTCAGCAACCCAAAACAAACTAGGAAGGGGTTGTAAACCAGCAGGATAAACGCACTCTCAGTTCTACTGCATGTGGATTGTTACAGAAAAATGAGATGCTGGAATAAGAAGAAATGGGATGTACAGAGCAAGAATGCATGCCTGCTGTGACCAGGACACGAACCAAGTTTCCATCAAGACGATGGATCCATGAGGATGGTGAAGAATTAAAAAGGAATTCTGAAACAGAGAAAAAGCAAAAACGAACAAAGTACTTGCAAGCATCTGTGACAGGCAAGATACAGAAAGAAAATGGAGTAGGATTTAATTATAAAAGGCATGGGACAAAAGGTATGGACAGGCATCATATTCCACTCTCCTGCTAGAAACTGGAAGTGTACAGTTTCTCCTGCAGGAAACATGCTGATCCTGGGAGAAAGATGTTCTCCTTACCTTCCCCAGGCTGGGGTCACTTCAGTCTAGAAAGGTGCAGGGAGCAGGTACTGCTGGACTCCTGGTCTTGGGGAGGGGTGGAAGTATGGAAAGGATCCCCAGGTGATTCCAGTCTGGGGGGGGATGTACAGGGAACATTTCCTCACTGCCCAGCTCCTCCCAGACTAGAGTGAAACAGCAGCTGCTCCACACATCTTCCCCAGACCAGGGTGAAATGTGTCTCTCAGGAAAAAATTTCTACCCACAGTAGCAATGAACACCTGTCTATTGCCAATGTTTCAGACCTGCTATGTCTACAGTATTGAAGCCAGGACTTATCTCCAACAGATTTTTTTTTTACCTTGAATTAAGTTACTATCTCAAATTAGATCGCAGTTTAAATGTATGTAAAGACTAGGTAGGGACTGCATGCCAATTTGATTCAAGCTGCAACTGTTTCTTTTCTACTAACTTAACCTTTAGAAAAAATTATGAAGATTAAATTGGAGAGAATAAAGGAGATAAAAACTTGGGAATCAAGACAGCCTTAAGAGAAAGATTAAGTGAAATCATGCAGGAATAGCTACATAGAAAGTACAGAATTTGAGAGGAAGCCAACAACTGAAATGAAAGGGAGAGGCTGGAGTGTTAAGAGAACCATGAGAATATGGGAGTGGATAGAAGTAGACTGTCACAGGATAAATGTTTTTAACCTACAACAAATATAAGTGCAAAGACATACACAGACCCTAATCCATGACAAAAACAGCCAAAAAAACCCCACCACAAAAAAACTGACCAGGAGGAAAACAGTACTGTTTCATTCCAGGTCATCTCAAAGGATGTCTGCACATTTGTGACACTACAGTCTCTTAGGACGAGTGGCCAGGGTGGCCCTCCAAGTATCCCACAAGACAGCACATGCCCACCCTTCCCATTCACTCTGGCACTTGGACCAAAAATCTACTACCCAGGGATGACAGGTCACAGATGGCTTCACACATCTACTTATTCAACCCAAGGAAGCCTCCTAGCCCTAAAAGGCCTACAGACTGGCCAAGACCAGCCAAGACCTCCATGGAATGAGGGAAGAATAACAGCAGTTCTACAGCCCAAAAACACCTTCCTGTACATAGCTGCCCACAAATCCAAATCAGCATAGACTGAAAAGCGAGTATAATTATCTAGAATGATTCCCTTCTCATGCTAATTTAAAGAGGAAAAAAAAAACCACAAACCATAATCATGCTTGCTTTGATCTATTAATGCCCCATATTAAACTTACAAAGAAGAATAAATATTGAGGCCCTTCCCCTGCCTCCAAACATTTTCATGCCAAATGCCTTCTTTTAGGGAACCTCTACTGCTTTATTAGCAATGGACTACAACATTTGTCGGGTAACTTAAGATTGGAGCAAAAGCCAACCCCATGGCCATGAGCCACCCTCCAGTGTGCTAACCTTACTCCTTGAAAGCTAGTAAGTCTAGGATTCAGCCTATTCATGTAAGAAAGTGGAGGCATAGGAATAAGAATCCTGCAAAATAGCTCAGAGAATTGGAAATACAACA